AAAACTTATCTAAGATTTTAGATTCCTATATGTTGAATGTATGCACCATCCTGCCAAAGTAAATTCCGTGTCGGTGTGAACTTACATGGCGAATAAAACCCCTTTCTGATTCTGATTGAATATCCGTGCATAATCACTTCGTGATTACCTCAAAATTTCCTACCAGCCCCCTCCGCAGGAATGTGTTTTAGCATCTGTTTCGACCGTGTAGTTCGTGAAGCCGTTGATGGCTGTACCGGAGGAATTTCCATCTGGTACAGGTACAGTGGGAGGCTGATCGATGCCCGCGTGCAGTGTACGCTGATGATCTGGTGATTACTGCTCAGAGGAGGAGTTGGAGACGCTGCTGCTGAGACTGGAGCTTGCCACTAAGAGTTGTGGGGCCTTACCATCAGCCCCACCAAAACTAAGCACCCGCCTGGGTATTTTGTAACCATCGGACACTCCACCCCCACAACTCCCAATCGGTGATGGGGCAGTTGTGGAGAGAGTGGAGAGTTTCCCATACCTGGGCAGTGTGCTTATGACCGGCTCCGGTTTAACAGCAGAGGTCTCACTCCGAATCAGTCGAGCGGCAATATCTTTTCATCGGTTGCGTAACGCTGTGTGGAAGCTACCTGGTCTGTCGCTCCGCACTGAGCTTCAGGTCTTCTCGGCCACGGTCATTCCCTCCCTTCTCTACGCTTGCGAAACGTGGACCCCCCTAATGGAACATCTTCGCCGGTTAGAAACATTTAGGCTGGCCTGCCTACGATCCGTCCTGGGTTTAACCAGGCTGGATTGTGTGAGGAGCTCACAGATCCTCGAAAGATCTGGGCAAGGTCCCATCGGTGAGCTCCTCCGGCGGGCAAGGCTGCATTGGCTGGGTCATGTAGCCGCATGCCCAGCCACCGCATGCCGAAACAGCTTTTGTTCGGCCGGATTGAGGGGGCAAAACGGGCGCGGCACGGGCTATAGAAGAGATGGAGTGATGTGGTACAGGAGGACGTGGAGCTGAGTGGACTTGCCGATGACTGGTACCAGCGGTGTCAAGATCGGCCTCTGTGGAGGAGGCTCGTGAAGGACGCTACTGGGCAGTTGGAGGCAGTCGCCCTCCAACAACAACGGAGGACGGAGGAGCGACGCTCACAACAACGAGCGGAGCGCCAAGTGGCTAAAGCACAGCAGGTTGGCACAGTAGGGGGCACAGGTGGTGCATCAGCCAGTCATCTCAGTCAGTCGACCCGTGGCACCTGGGTCTGCCCCGTGACCTCCTGCCAGCGGGCGTTCGACACTTCACGTGGCCTCAAGGTGCACATAGCCTGGCACAAGCGTCGTGGTGACGTCACCGCCACTTAGTGGCGAATGGCGGTTGTTGTTGTTGTGTGTCTATGTGTGTGTGTCTGTGTGTGTGTGTCTATCTACGTGTCTGTCTTTATCTGTGTGTGTGTCCAGGTGTTTGTGAAGGACAATCAGGGAGGAGAGGACACGACCAGAATCTGCTACCTCTCCTTCATCGGCACGACGGTGCAGGCCACCAACATGGGCGACTTCAAGAGAGTGAGCGTCTCACACACACAGAGACATACACACATACAGAGACACACATACATACACATACACACACACATACAGATACACACACATACAGACACACATACACATATACACACACACAGACACACATACAGAGACACACATACATACACATACACACACATACATACACACATATATACACACACACACATACACACATACACACACATACACACATACAGATACACACACACACACATACACACACACATACACACACACAGAGACACTCACACAGACACACACATACACAAATACAAACACTCACACACATACACACATAGACACACACATAGACACACACATACACACATACACACATAGACACACACATAGACACACACATACACACATAGACACACACATAGACACACACATACACACATACGCCGCTGGCAGGAGGTCACGGGGCAGACCCAGGTGCCACGGGTCGACACACACACACAGAGACACACACACAGACACAGAGAGACACACACAGACACGCACAGACACACACACACGCACACACACAGACGCACACACAGACACGCACACACACACACACGCGCACACACGCAGCCACAGGCACACACAGACACACACAGACACACACACACACAGACACACGCACACACACACACACATGCAAACACACATACACACACACACAGACACACACACATACACACACAGACACACAGACACACACACACACGCACACACAGACACACACAGTGGTGTAGTGTATAGTTGTGTATAGTAGTGTGTAGTGTAGTGTGTAGTGTTTAGTGTAGTGTATAGTGTAGTGTATAGTAGTGTAGTGTATAGTATAGTAGTGTATAGTGTAGTGTATAGTATAGTGTATAGTGTAGTGTATAGTAGTGTAGTGTATAGTGTAGTCTATAGTGTATAGTGTAGTGTATAGTGTAGTCTATAGTGTAGTGTATAGTGTAGTGTATAGTAGTGTGTAGTGTAGTGTATAGTGTAGTCTATAGTGTAGTGTAGTGTATAGTGTAGTGTATAGTAGTGTAGTGTGTAGTGTAGTGTGTAGTGTATAGTGTAGTGTATAGTGTGTAGTGTAGTGTGTAGTGTAGTGTATAGTGTAGTGTATAGTGTAGTGTATAGTGTAATGTATAGAGTAGTGTAGTGTGTAGTGTAGTGTGTAGTGTAGTGTATAGTAGTGTATAGTGTAGTGTATAGTGTATAGTGTAGTCTATAGTGTAGTGTAGTGTATAGTGTAGTGTATAATGTAGTGTATAGTGTAGTGTATAGTGTAGTGTATAGTGTGTAGTGTATAGTGTGTAGTGTAGTGTGTAGTGTAGTGTATAGTGTAGTGTATAGTGTAATGTATAGAGTAGTGTATAGTGTAGTGTGTAGTGTAGTGTATAGTGTAGTGTATAGTGTAGTGTATAGTGTAGTGTATAGTGTAGTGTATAGTGTAGTGTATAGTAGTGTATAGTGTAGTGTATAGTGTAGAGTATAGTGTAGTGTATAGTAGTGTAGTGTAGTGTGTAGTGTAGTGTGTAGTGTAGTGTATAGTGTAGTGTATAGTCTAGTGTATAGTGTAGTGTATAGTGTAGTGTATAGTGTAGTGTATAGTAGTGTATAGTGTAGTGTATAGTGTAGTGTATAGTAGTGTATAGTCTAGTGTATAGTGTAGTGTATAGTGTAGTGTATAGTGTAGTGTATAGTGTAGTGTATAGTGTAGTGTATAGTAGTGTATAGTGTAGAGTATAGTGTAGTGTATAGTAGTGTAGTGTAGTGTGTAGTGTAGTGTATAGTGTAGTGTGTAGTGTAGTGTATAGTGTAGTGTAATGTATAGTGTAGTGTAGTGTATAGTGTAGTGTGTAGTGTAGTGTATAGTGTAGTGTGTAGTGTAGTGTATAGTGTAGTGTAATGTATAGTGTAGTGTAGTGTATAGTGTAGTGTATAGTGTAGTGTATAGTGTAGTGTATAGTAGTGTATAGTATAGTGTAGTGTATAGTGTAGTGTATAGTGTAGTGTATAGTGTAGTGTATAGTAGTGTATAGTGTAGTGTATAGTGTAGTGTATAGTGTAGTGTATAGTGTAGTGTATAGTGTAGTGTATAGTTTAGTGTATAGTGTAGTGTGTAGTGTATAGTGTAGTGTATAGTGTAGTGTATAGTGTAGTGTATAGTAGTGTATAGTGTAGTGTATAGTGTAGTGTATAGTGTAGTGTATAGTGTAGTGTATAGTGTAGTGTATAGTTTAGTGTATAGTGTAGTGTGTAGTGTAGTGTATAGTGTAGTGTATTGTGTAGTGTATTGTGTAGTGTATAGTGTAGTGTATAGTGTAGTGTATAGTGTAGTGTGTAGTGTAGTGTATAGTGTAGTGTATAGTGTAGTGTATTGTATAGTGTAGTGTATAGTGTAGTGTATAGTGTAGTGTATAGTGTAGTGTGTAGTGTGTAGTGTAGTGTATAGTGTAGTGTATAGTGTAGTGTATTGTGTAGTGTATAGTGTAGTGTATAGTGTAGTGTATAGTAGTGTATAGTGTAGTGTGTAGTGTAGTAGTGTATAGTGTAGTGTATAGTAGTGTATGTAGACAACCGTGCTCACAATCCCTTCGTTCTGTATCTTTTCTCCTCCTGCTACCCACCCACCCATCCACCTACCCACCCACCCATCCACCTACCCACCCACCCACCTACACACCCATCCACCCACCCATCCACCTACCCACCCACCCACCTACACACCCATCCACCCACCCATCCACCTACCCACCCACCCACCTTCCCACCTACCCACCCACCTTCCCACCCACCCACCCACCTCTTCTCTCCCCCCCCCACGAACCTTCCGCAGATTGCTGGCAAGAAGGGCGAGAGTCATTAGCGGTCGGGCCACAACGTGGCGAGGGATTCTACTTTGGTGGTTTCTTTGGGGGGGGAGCACGCATTTGTGAGTGTGAGTGAGAGTGTGTATGCGTGTGTGAGTGTGTGTGTGTGTGAGTGTGTGTGTGAGTGTGTGTGAGTGTGTGTGTGTGAGTGTGTGTGTGTGAGTGTGTGTGAGTGTGTGTGAGTGTGTGTGAGAGTGTGTATGCGTGTGTGAGTGTGTGTGTGTGTCTGTGTGTGTGCGTGTGTCTGTGTGCGTGTGTGTGTCTGTGTGTGTGTGTGTGTGCGCGTGTCTGTGCGCGTGTGTGTGTACGCGTGTGTGTGCGTGTGTCTGTGTGTGTGTGCGTGTGTCTGTGCGTGTGTGTCTGTGTGTGTGTGTGTCTGTGTGTGTGTGTGTCTGTGTGTGTGCGTGTGTCTGTGTGTGTGCGCGTGTGAGTGTGTGTGTGTGTGAGTGTGTGCGTGTGCGTGAGTGTGCGTGAGTGTGTGTGAGTGTGTGTGAGTGGTGTGTGTGTGCGTGTGTGTGTGCGTGAGTGTGCGTGTGTGTGTGCGCGCGTGTGTGTATGTGTGTATGTCTGTGTGTGTGTGTGCGTGTGTCTGCGTGCGCTCGTGCGAAAAAAGTGGGTGGCAGGAGGTTTAATGAGGAGACGGGGAGTAGCGAGAGACACGCTGAGGTGATGGTGGTGGTGGAGTTGGAGTTGATGGTAGTGGTGGTGGAGTTGGAGTTGGTGGAGGTATTGGTGGAGGTGTTGTTGGTGTTGGTGGTGGAGTTGGAGTTGGTGGCGGTATTTGGTGGAGGTGTTGTTGGTGTTGGTGGAGTTGGCGTTGGTGGTGGCAGCGAGAGATGGGAAGGTGCAGCAGGGTGGACAGAGACGGAGAGGGACAAGGTAGCGGTGGCGGTGTGATTTTGTTTGGCTTGAGAATCGTGAGTTGGGTGTGCGCGTGTGTGTGTGTGCGTGTGTGTGTGGGGAGATTTGGGACCTCTGTCACCTTTCATTGACCCGACTCGATCGGAGTGATTAAAACAAAACAGAAACTATGAAAGAGTCGACGTCGCTGCGAGTTTATTTTCCCGTCGTCTCTCCCGCGACCCCTCGCACGCAAGCGGCGGGAACCTCTCCCCCCCCCCCCCCCCCCCCCGTCTTGACGAACGTTCAACTCGCGGGCGTTGAGAGAATCTGAGAACCCTCCTCTACCTACGAACGTTTGACTTGGGAACGTTGAGAGAATCTGAGAAGCCTCCTCTACCTACGAACGTTTGACTTGGGAACGTTGAGAGAATCTGAGAAGCCTCCTCTACCTACGAACGTTTGACTTGGGAACGTTGAGAGAATCTGAGAAGCCTCCTCTACCTACGAACGTTTGACTTGGGAGCGTTGAGAGAATCTGAGAAGCCTCCTCTACCTACGAACTTTAGACTTGGGAACTTTGAGAGAATCTGAGAAGCCTCTACCTACGAACTTTCGACTTGGGAGCGTTGAGAGATTCTGAGAAGCCTCCTCTACCTACGAACGTTTGACTTGGGAACGTTGAGAGAATCTCAGAAGCCTCTACCTACGAACGTTTGACTTGTGAGCGTTGAGAGAATCTCAGAAGCCTCCTCTACCTACGAACTTTAGACTTGGGAACGTTGAGAGAATCTGAGAAGCCTCCTCTGCCTAGGAACGTTTGACTTGGGAACTTTTAGAGAATCGTGGAAGCCTCCTCTACCTACGAACTTCCGACTTGCGAGCGTTGAGAGAATCTCAGAAACCTCCTCTACCTACGAACGTTTGACTTGGGAGCGTTGAGAGAATCTGAGGAGCCTCCTCTACCTACGAACGTTTGACTTGGGAACGTTGAGAGAATCTCAGAAGCCTCTACCTACGAACGTTTGACTTGTGAGCGTTGAGAGAATCTCAGAAGCCTCCTCTACCTACGAACTTTAGACTTGGGAACGTTGAGAGAATCTCAGAAGCCTCCTCTACCTAAGAACTTTAGACTTGCAGGCGTTGAGAGAATCTGAGAAGCCTCCTCTACCTACGAACGTTTGACTTGGGAACGTTGAGAGAATCTGAGAAGCCTCCTCTACCTAGGAACATTTGACTTGGGAACGTTGAGAGAATCTGAGAAGCCTCCTCTACCTACGAACATTTGACTTGGGAACGTTGAGAGAATCGTGGAAGCCTCCTCTACCTAGGAACTTTAGACTTGGGAACGTTGAGAGAATCTGAGAAGCCTCCTCTACCTACAAATGTTCCACTTGGGAGCGTTGAGAGAATCTGAGGAGCCTCCTCTACCTACGAACTTTCGACTCGGGAACTTTGAGAGAATCAGAAAAGCCTCCTCTACCTACGAACGTTTGACTTGGGAACGTTGAGAGAATCTGAGCAGTCTCCTCTACCTACGAACGTTTGACTTGGGAGCGTTGAGAGAATCTGAGGAGCCTCCTCTACCTACGAACTTCCGACTTGCGAGCATTGAGAGAATCTGAGAAGCCTCTACCTACGAACTTTTGACTTGCGAGCGTTGAGAGAATCGTGGAAGCCTCCTCTACCTACGAACGTTCAACTCGGGAACTTTGAGAGAATCAGAGGAGCCTCTACCTACGAACGTTTGACTTGGGAACGTTGAGAGAATCTAACAAACTTGGTCCCTTATGGTCCAGTTGCCCGTTTGGACCGAGAGGCGTAAGTTCAACGGCCGTGCAGTAGATGGCGGTGGTGGCATCTTCATCTGCAGAACGTGAAGAACCAGTGGCATCTACATCTGTAGAACGTGAAGAACCAGTGACATCTACATCTACAGAACGTGAAGAATCAGTGGCATCTACATCTGCAGAACGTGAAGAACCAGTGGGATCTACAGAATGTGAAGAACCAGTGGCATCTACAGAACGTGAAGAACCAGTTGCATCTGCAGAATGTTAAGAACCAGTGGCATCTACATCTACAGAACGTGAAGAACCAGTGGCATCTACATCTACAGAACGTGAAGAACCAGTAGCATCTACATCTACAGAACGTGAAGAACCAGTGGCATCTACATCTACAGAACGTTAAAAACCAGTGGCATCTACATCTACAGAACGTGAAGAACCAGTGGCATCTGCAGAATGTTAAGAACCAGTGGCATCTACATCTACAGAACGTGAAGAACCAGTGACATCTACATCTACAGAACGTGAAGAACCAGTGGCATCTGCAGAACGTGAAGTACCAGTGGCATCTACACCTGCAGAACGTGAAGAACCAGTGGCATCTACATCTACAGAATGTGAAGAACCAGTGGCATCTACATTTGTAGAACATGAAGAACCAGTGGCATCTACATTTGTAGAACATGAAGAACCAGTGGCATCTACATTTGTAGAACGTGAAGAACCAATTAGTGTGCATGCTGTACAACATGTTTGGAATCGACAAATCAACTTACGAACACCTGGAACCTACCTGGTTCGTAAGTAGAGGAGTCCCTTGTTGGAAGTTCACGTCAAAGGCCTAATTCGTTCAGATGTAACGAAAGTGAAGGACTTTTTTTACCCACCCAATAACGCACCTTAAAATATTTAAACAACGTGTATTTAAACACAACGATCCTAACAACATTACGAGCACGTAATATGAAGAGGAAGCATGGTTAAGTAATGCGTTAATATTTACTGCACCTGCAGTAGCAACGTCGTTCACCGGAGAATGGTTGGTAAGATGTTATCTCCCTCGCCTGGTACGTGGGAGGTCGTGGGTTAGATCCCAGACCCTGTAAGATGTTATCTCCCTCGCCTGGTATGCGGGAGGTCGTGGGTTTTATCCCAGACCCTGTGAGATGTTGACTACCTCGCCTGGTGTACAGGAGGTCGTGGGTTAGATCCCAGACCTGTGAGATGTTATCTCCCTCGCCTGGTGTACAGGAGGTCGTGGGTTTTATCCCAGACCCTGTGAGATGTTGACTACCTCGCCTGGTGTACAGGAGGTTGTGGGTTAGATCCCAGACCCTGTGAGATGTTAACTACCTCGCCTGGTGTACAGGAGGTCGTGGGTTATATCCCAGACCCTGTGAGATGTTAACTACCTCGCCTGGTGTACAGGAGGTCGTGGGTTAGATCCCAGACCCTATGCGATGTTAACTACCTCGCCTGGTGTACAGGAGGTCGTGGGTTAGATCCCAGACCCTGTGAGATGTTAACTACCTCGCCTGGTGTACAGGAGGTCGTGGGTTAGATCCCAGACCCTGTGAGATGTTAACTACCTCGCCTAGTATGCGGGACGTCGTGGGTTTTATCCGGGACCTTGTGAGATGTGATCTCCCTCCCCTGTCACAATCCAATCTCCCTCGGGCCTGGGGATCCATGCAAGATCTCACCTCGTGGAGTTGCAATGATCATGAGAACGGTGAGGAATCAGCCCAGAACTACACGGGAGGATCTTGTCAATGATCTCAAGGCAGCTGGGACCATAGTCGCCAAGAAAACAATTGGTAACACATTACGCCGTGAAGGACTGAAATCCTACAGCGCCCGCAAGGTCCCCCTGCTCAAGAAAGCACATATACATGCCCGTCTGAAGTTGCCAATGAATATCTGAATGATTCAGAGGACAACTGGGTGAAAGTGTTGTGGTCAGATGAGACCAAAATGGAGCTCTTTAGCATCAACTCAACTCGCCGTGTTTGGAGGAGAAGGAATGCTGCCTATGACTCCAAGAACACCATCCCCACCGTCAAACATGGAGGTGGAAACATTATGCTTTGGGGGTGTTTTTCTGCTAAGGGGACAGGACAACTTCACCACATCAAAGGGACGATGGACGGGGCCATGTACCGTCAAATCTTGGGTGAGAACCTCCTTCCCTCAGCCAGGGCATTGAAAATGGGTCGTGGATGGGTATTCCAGCATGACAATGACCCAAAACACACAGCCAAGGCAACAAAGGAGTGGCTCAAGAAGAAGCACATTAAGGTCCTGGAGTGGCCTAGCCAGTCTCCAGACCTTAATCCCATAGAAAATCTGTGGAGGGAGCTGAAGGTTCGAGTTGCCAAACGTCAGCCTCGAAACCTTAATGACTTGGAGAAGATCTGCAAAGAGGAGTGGGACAAAATCCCTCCTGAGATGTGTGCAAACCTGGTGGCAAACTACAAGAAACGTCTGACCTCTGTGA